GCTCACAGCAATCTCCAACTCCTGGGCTCAAGCGATTCTCCTGCCTCAGCTTCCCAAGTAGCTGGGACTACTACAGGCACCCGCCACAATGCCCGGCTATTTTTTGGTTGCACCCGTAATTGTTGTTTGGCCAGTCTGGGCTGGATTCGAACCCGCCAGCTCAGGTGTATATGGCTGGCGCCTTAGCCAAGCCACAGGCGCCGAGCCTATTTTACTTATTTACTGATTGATTTTAAGACAGAGTCTCACCATGTTGCCCTTGGCAGAGTGCTGTAGCGTCATAGCGCACAGCAATCTCAAACTCTTCAGTGTTTGTGATCCACCTGCCTCAGCCTCCCGAGTAGCTGGAATTTTAGCTGGAGCAAAATTTTTGTGGGACAGAGTCCCACAACGCCTGCTATTTTTTTTGTTGCGGTTGTCGTTGTTTAGCTGGCCTGGGCTGGGTTCAAACCTGCCAGCTTCGGTGCATGCGGCGGGCACCATAACCACTGTGCTACGGCGCCGAGCCTATTTTTATTCTTTTGAGATAAAGTCTCAGTTTGTCACCCTCATCACAGCTCACAGCAACCTCAAACTCTTGGGTTCAAGTGATTCTCTTGCCTCAGCCTCCTGAGTATTGGTGATCTTTTTAAAGTGGAAGACGGACATTCTTTTTTTGTTTGTTTGTTTGTTTTTAGTCCCTCCTCGGAACTCTCTAACATGTACTCTCTCCAAACAGCTATTTCAGCCCAGTTTGGGAAAAACTGTCTGTTGGGGTTCACCCTGGAGGGTGGGGGTTCCCCAGGGCTTCTCGCAGGGGGCGTTGAGGCTGGGAAGTAAAGTCTTCAAATCTTGCCCAAAGACGAAGGTACGGCTGAATCCAGAGTCCAGGGCCTCTCATCCGTATCAGTGCATTGTTTCCTCAAGTAGGGACTAGGGTCGTTGTTGCCGCCGCAACGACAATCTTCAAAAGTCAAAGCCAGGGGCGTCACCCAAATACAAAACAGCCTCTACTTCGCTTCTGCTCGGGAGGAACACCATTAAGTGCAGAGGCGGTGACTCTGTTTCCCTCAACCACGAAGTCTGGATCCTAACTCGCCCCCTCATCCACCCCACCCACGCCCAGTCGGCGGAGGCCCCAGCTTTAGCCTAGCCAGGCCAGGAGGGCCCCTTCCCCGTCCCTCTGCGTCTCAGGGGCGGAGCCCACCTGTGCCCGGGGGCGGGGCCCGGCGGGGGCGGGACAGGTGGGGTGGAAGGTAGCGCCCAGAGCCGGGAGAAAGAGCCAGAGCCGGAGCCAGAGGAAGCGACCGCAGGGGAGAGCCGGGCGGGCACCTAGGGAAGCCGCCCTCTGGGCAGCGTGTGAGAGCGAGCGAGCGCGGAGGGAGGGAGGCAGCGAGTCTGCGACTAGGAGAGGCGTGGAGAGGGGAGCCGCGCGCGGAGGACACTCGGGGAGGAGGAGCTGGGCTCTGTTCTTGGAGAGACCTGCGAGGCGCCCGCGCTGCTCCAGGGACCCCCGGCGCACGGAGCATGAGCTCGCGCCCCGCCGGAGAGCGGCGCGGACACTCGGCCACCGCGCAGCGCTGAGACTCGGGGCTCCCGGGGCGCCGGGCCGGGCCGCGGGGCGGGGGCTGGGTGGGGAGCAGCCCGCGCTGGCGGCGGCAGCCTCGGCGCAGCGCCATGGGGAGCCCCCGGGCCGCGCCGCTGCTGCTGCTCCTGCGCCCGGTCAAGCTGCTAAGGAGGCGCTTCCGGCTGCTGCTGGTTCTCGCTCTCTTGTCCGTGGTGCTCTGGACTCTGTATCTGGAACTGGTGGCATCGGCCCAGGTCGGCGGGAACCCCCTGAACCGGAGTAAGTAGCTCTAGGGGCAGTGGGGCGGCTGTGGTGGCTCCCGCGCTGGGGGGACCCGCCTCCCATCCCGTTTCAGACCCGATTTCCAACTCGTTTTCCTGTCCAGGTGCCCGGCGCCGCCCCGCGCCTACTCGGGGAGAGGCGGTGGCGGGGGGAAAGGGGAGCTGCGGGGCCCAAGTGCCGAGTTCCCGAGCTCGGGGCCTGCCCGCCGGGCCATGTGCGGCTGGGGCATCCTCCCGGCTCCCGCCTGGCCCGCGGACATACTGCGGAGATTTGAGGAGCCTCCAGCCGCTCTGGGCTGGCGGTTCCCGGGAAGAGCTGCGCGAGGTCCACGCGCGGACTTTGGGTTTCTGTCTCGGATGCCTTCGCTGTCTCCGCCGAGGCAGCGCCCTCCGGTCTGCGCGGCCCAAACTTTGCCCACCGCCTTTTCTGTGGCTCACTCCATTTACCCTCCTGCTGCGTTTTTTTGGGAGGGGGGGAGCTTTTTCTTTTTTCTTTTTTTTTTTTTTAACAATACCTCTGAGAGCTCCCTCCTCCTCCATCCCATACGCCACTCGCCTCCCAGCCCGGTCCTCTTCCTGCGAGTCTCCCACCTCTTCGTTGTACCCTCCCCTGCCCTGGTTCTGGCCACCCCTTCTGCTAGTTTTCTGAAGCTCTGTTTGCTAACCGTGCTTCGGAATGTACCGAACTCCCCAGACCAACGAGACAGTGGACAGCACAGTGGACCGGGCAGTGGGTAGATTCTTACTAATGTCTTCAACTTAGCCAAAAGCCAGTTACTATTTTTGTGCCTCGGTATCCTCCTAAGAAAACGGGAGGGAAGGGTCTCTTTGCCTTTTTATATCGGTAGCCATGGCCATGCCAGGTGATATTCAACGTGTTGATGGGCCTGATAAAGGAAAACTCTGCCGGTCGTGTCAGAGACTGAAAGGTCAGTGTGATAGCTGGCAAGAGGAGTGGACAATTCCCAGTACTACTACTAGGTGCCCAACCCAAGCCTGAGGGGCAAGGGTCAGAGTTCTCCTGGATAGCCTCCTTCACTTCCAACTTTCAGGAAACTGGGAGTGTTTCCGGGAGGAAAAGCAGAGTGGCTGGAATTGCTGGTGGGAAGAACTGGGACCTGGGCTTGTGTCAGCTTCTCTCCCCAGAGCTGGGTGTGGTGCTCACCTTCTTCTGTGGCCAAAGAGAGGGAATTACTAGGGACAGTAACCCAGCTGGTTCAGGTTAGACACGGGTATTTATGGCCTACCTAACCTCTCTGTCAGTGGCAGTGGAAGTAACTCTGGCTGTGAGTTGGGAGAGTGGCTCTGCCACTAGCTGGGGAATCACAGGAGAAATGACAGCTTCTCGGGTGAAATAAGGAATTTGGTTCACATGCTCACCAAGGCCCCTTTCAGTCTGGATACTAAGACTGAATAATGTCCCACACTTGAGCATTTCCAGGGCCACAGGGTTCAGCACATGGTGAGGAGGGCTAAGCCACCTTTGCACAGCTCTACACAGGATGACCAAAATCCACCTTCCGACAGCTAGGTCTTCCCTCTCCTGGGCCTTGAGTGAGCCTTTCCTCCACACAATGGCCACTCAGTAGATGAGCTTATTTGGAGTGTGTGCAGATGGCCGGGCAGTGGGTAGATTCTTACTAACTTACTAAAAAGTTTTTAACTTAGCCAAAAGCCACTTACTGTTTCTGTGCCTCGGTATTCTCCTAAGAAAATGAGAGGGAAGGGTCTCTTTGCCTTTTTAGACGGCCCCAAGTAGATGAGCTTATTTGGAGTGTGTGCAGGTGGGAGGCCTGGGACGGTTTTCCCTCTTCTCCTTGGGACACTTCTTCCTAACATGGCCATCAATGTGTTAATGTGGTAGCCAAATTAAAAACAGAGGAAGCAGTTGCTTTGAGAACTTGTAATCAGCAACCTCCCTTTCCCTTCTTCCCTACTCTTCTTTAAGCTCAAGTGTGTTTTCTCCTAAATGACTAATTTTGCCACAATAATAATGTCACATTCTGGCTCTGCTGGCTGTCTTGTTCTGAGCCATCAGTTCTTGGGTCTGTTGGATTCCCCTCCTGGATGAATCTT